TAGGCTTTGCACGCTGGTTAGGAGTGAGGTAGGCTTTGCACGCTGGTTAGGAGTGAGATAGCCTTGCACACTGGTCAGGAGTGAGATAGGCTTTACACGCTGGTCAGGAGTTAGGTAGGCTTTACACGCTGGTCAGGAGTGAGGTAGGCTTTGCACGCTGGTCAGGAGTGAGATAGGCTTTGCACGCTGGTCAGGAGTGAGATAGGCTTTGCACGCTGGTTAGGAGTTAGGTAGGCTTTACACGCTGGTTAGGAGTGAGATAGCCTTGCCCACTGGTTAGGAGTGAGATAGCCTTGCACACTGGTCAGGAGTGAGATAGGCTTTACACGCTGGTCAGGAGTGAGGTAGGCTTTGCGTTTCTTTAAGGCATGAGCACAGTTAGGTTTGCGCCACACATAGCACTTTGACTTTTGGCCGATCTTGGTCTGTCTTGGTCTCTTTGTCCAGATCTTAGCTGGATACCTCTTGTGCTGTCTGGTGAACTCCAGACAGGCTTTGAATTGTTTTTTTTGATGGGTGTCTTTCCTCCCATCCTCCCATACAGGCCAGTGATAAAGACCACAGCTCTTGATATAGCTGACTGATGCACCTCTACTCCACTCTCAGCCACTGAGCTCTGTAGGTCTTTCAGAGTGATTGCTGGTATCCTTCACAGGTCTGCTTCTTGTTCGGATGCTGAGTTCTGAGGAACAGCCTTTTCCAGGCAGTGTCCGGGTGGTGTGACACAGCCTCCCACTCCTTGATTATTGAGCCGACAGTGCTCACTGGGATATCCAGGCACTGTGATATTTCTCGTACTCATTGCCTAATCTATCCAATTTTCAATCACTTTATCTCTGATGTCCTTAGAATGCTCTTTAGTCTTCATTTTCATGGCTTTATAGCTTTACTTCAGATTCACTGCCTGACCAATGATCCTGAAACACACTGGGGGTTTTATCCAGTAAATGTGACAGTCACTTCAGTAAGTGTGACAGTGACTAGGCAGGGGCCAATGGTAACACAATTGTATCCTTGTCAGGGCAATTTCATTCACCTGTGTTAATTCAGAGCCATGAGATTAGAAGGGCTGGAATACTTATGCAAGCAGCATATACACACCCGTATACAGTATATATACTGTGCACACTGTACACACAGTCTACTCTATCTATATACTGTGCATGTGCACACTGTACACAAACTCTCATTGTATATATATACTGTGCACACAGTACACACAACTCTGTATATACTGTGCACAGTACACACACTCTACTCGGTATATATGCTGTTCAGTCTCTACACACTCTCTACTCTGGATATACTGTATACTGAAGGCATTGTGAGTACTGCAGAGCATAACTTGCCAGTGTGCACACAGTGTAATCAATCCTTTTTCTGTGTCTTCCAGTCTGTGGCACGAGTACCCCCTGTGACCCAGCGCTGTGGAGAAGAGAGCGAAGAGTGAATGTCTTCAGTGTTACACACACCAGCACCTCTATTCCAGAGCCCTGCGCTCCTCTTTTATACTGGATTGTAATCACAGCTTTGACATAGTGATTGTTCAAGAAAGATTAAAATTTTAGATTTTGGAAACTGCATTTCTCATGCCTGGTCTGTCTCAGTGCAGTGTTAATGT